TCAGCCTGTTACTGTATACGCTTTGGAAAGGTGTTCCTCGCCCTTAAAATATGAACAGAACACCCCCAGACAATTTACTCATTAATGTCACTCTTGTAGTAGATAAGCTGCTGAAATGACACACATTCACACTGAGGCAAGCCATAAGGGTTTGAAGTAGGATCGCTTATTTTATTTGTTGCAATTCTCTGGCAGTTTGCCCAGATATTCTTAATAGGGAGCTCTAGGATTTGCTAGAGTTAAAAACACCTGGGCGGATTCAGTTTCACAGAGATGCTGAATAACCACAAAGACAGTGGGGTATGGGTCTAAATAAAGAAACGGCCCAGCTGGGGAGAGAAGGGTCCAAGGCCTGAGGAAGAAGTTACCGTGCCTGGGGTGTGAGCTGTCCCACAGCTGACACCCTGAACCCTGGGGACCCAGTCAGCAGCTGATCGTGGGCCACAGAGCTGAGGCAGGAAGTGCATATCAGGAGTTTCATCTGCTCTTTGACATATTAGGCAAACAACAGTGTCACACGAAATGCTTCTCACAAATGTAGAGCGTGTTTTAGAAAATGGTTTCTTAAAGCCTCGAATATTTGAAAAATTGCTCAAGCTAGTGTGTCACCCGCAAACATTTGCTGGTGTAAAATCTGCAGAATACAAATAACCGGCATCCATGCATGTGTGTGGATGTCAGGCTGTTTGGGGTGCCTTTTCTCATTCATTCTCTTGTGTGCAGAGCTGGGGATAAAACTTGGGGCCTTTTGTGTATTTGGCAAGTGCCGAGCTACACCTTCTCCCCTCATGTATTCCTTCAGCATCCTCGAAGGTACAGGGCATTATTAGGAATATTTTGCAGATGAGATGGAACAAGAAAGTAAAGCTAGGAAAGTTTAAGTTGCCCACACTCACATTTCAGTGACTGAGCTCTGGTTCCAACTCTGACCCTCTACCCTGTGCTCTTATTTACTATGCTAAAAAAGCCACTTGCTTTTTTGTTTTTTTGGTACCGGATATTGAACTCGGGATCTTGCGCTTGGGAGTCAGGCGCTGGAACCACCGAGCTAAATCCCTGCAAGCCACTTGTTAACACTTTCCAGCTGTATCCTCAAAGCTGCACAGAATGTGAATTGCCCAGTGATAACAGCCAACAACAACAAAATACATTGCATAATAATATTAATTATTATTTTTATTATTTACAGTGTTGGAGCTTGAACTCAGGGCCTTTTTACTGAGCTACCTCACCAGCATTTTTGAAAAAATATTGAGACAGGGTTTTGATAGATTGCTGAATGGCCCAGATGGACTCAAAACTGTGATCCTTCTGCCTCAGGCATGTCCCACCAAACGCCTCTGAGATAATTTCTTTTTAAATTCACATATTTATTGTTCATTTGTTTGGGTGCTAAGGATTGAACCCAATATATATTTTTAAGTTCAAGTTTTCATTAACTTATTCTCTGGTGCTAGGGATTGAACCCAGGGCTCCATGCCTGCTAAGCACGTTCTCTACCACCGAGCTACACCCCCTGCCCTCAAATTTTTACTGAGGGATGGAATGGAAAGACATACTGTGTTTCTGAACGAAAGACAACAATGTGAAAATTACCGTGTTAAATTCAACCCAACCTCTTAAAAACCCCATGCGCATTTCACCTGGATGAGTTCCTAACTCCACAAGTAGCAGTGATGAGAAAGCCCATGATGAGAAAGGTTTCTCATCATTGCGAGCCATCATTGAGTAGCCACCAGGACAGTAACACAAGAAGGAGGGGGAAGCTTGAGGTGGGATGGGGGCAGGGAGTTGGGGGGGTGCGAGCCAGTCACTAAAGCGGTGAGCACCCCGTCTCACCCGCCAGAACAGAGAGGCCAGGGACAGCCCGCAAGTATGAGGAAACATTTAATACAGCAAAAAAGTAACATTTCATAACAGGTAGATTTTCAGTGCATTTGAGGGGACATTTAGGACCGTGTATCTCACACTTTTTGCTAAAATGCCAGATACGTTTTAAAAGGAGAAAAAAGAAAATCCAGAAAAATGTAGGTCAACATTATATAACTTAAAGGAGGGGATTTGTTGGGAATCGTGTGACACACAAGTCAGAAACTGTACTAGAAAAGGGTAGATTTGACAACAAGAGAAACTCAGCAACTTCTGTACTTTTGCAGACACGATAAATTAAAACAGAATGAAAATGGGAAAGTGAGGGACAGTTTGTGCAGTATATAGTATGAGCAAGAAATTATTATTATTGTAGCTCAGTGACAGAGTGCTTTCTTAGCACGTGAGAGGCCCTGGGTTTCATCCCCATTAAAATTATTAGTATTCTTAATAGCCAAACTGATAAAAACATAGTTGTTCTATTTTAAATATGAGCAAAAACTATCAATAAATTCAACCAAAGAGGAAACTGAAATTACCAATTATCATTTGAAAAAAATGCTTATCCTTTTTAGCAGTGAAAGAAAGAAAGAAAAGTAATGCCAATTTTCACCTATTAGGCTTATACAAAATGAAAAAAATAGCCAGTGTTAGAGACAGGTATCCTGTAATTGTAATGCTCCGGAGGCTGAGGCAGGAGGATTGCTGTGAATTTGAGGTCAGCCGGGCCCACATAGTAAGCTCAAGTCCAGCCTGGACAACAGAGAGAGACCTTGTCAAAAAAAAATGAAAAAAATAATCCAGGTTGAAGAGGATGGGAACAAAAGAATATTTTCTTAAAGAGAAGTGCTGGGAGAATACAAATTATATAAAATTTCTAGGGAAGGGGATAATTTGACCAGAGGGATAATTTGACATCTTGACTTATAATTCCTGTTCTAGAGATCTGTACAAAGGCAACAATTGGAAATGTTTCTACAAAATAAAAATTTTATAGTGGAAGTACCCTAAATGTTTAATTTTTATCTCGTAAGACAATAGAAAGCTGTGTAGCCACTGAAAAGGTGTTGTGTGTGTATTTGTACACATATGTAAATTTATTTAGGTATTTGTTTGTGCATGTATTCATTTACTGAGAGCTGAGGGTTGAACCCAGGGCTTTGCACAGGCTAGCATAGTGCTCCGTGGAGCACTGTGCAGCACTATGAAGCTCTGTGGAGCTTTGGCTCCAGTCCCAGGTATAATATACAGTTTATGAGCAAGCGGAGGTGTGTATATGTGAAGGAAAGTGGGAAAAGGAGAGTTTGGAGCACTGTGCACAATACAACCCTACCTTGGGGAGAATAAACACCAGTGTTAGCTGTAGTGACATGATTGGTGTGTGTATTTTGCTTATTTGTATTTTCTCCAATAAATATGGTCTGGTTTTATAGCAATCAACTTTCACAATCACTCCTGCTGTAACAGCTGGGCACAGATCAGCGTCGTAGATGAAAGAGGGTCTTGCCTGTGGCTTTGTACTTTCTCTGTTGAGAGTGGCTAGAACATCAGGGTTAGCCCAGGAAAGGAAAACCTGCAGCTCAGGGACTGCTCTGTAGATGTGGACTCCTGGATCTGAGAAATATTACCTTGCTAGCACCCAGTTTTTATGAAATGAGGCTGCACCCACTTGCTAGTTGAAGAGCTGTCCAGGGTGTCATGGTGAAAGGGCTGTCAGCACCTTCTCTTTCTTTCTGGGGGGTAGGGGTGCTGGGAATCAAGCCCGGGCCTTGGACATGGCAGGCAAGTGCTCTACTACTGAGCCGCACCCCAGCCCAAAACGTTTTTAAATTTTCAATGAGGCTTCCATTTCAAATAAGTTTTTTTTTTTTTTTTGTACCGGGGATCAAACTCAGGTCCTTGCACTCGTGCAGCAGGCGGCGAAACCACTGAGCTAAATCCCTGGCCCTCAAACAAGTTTTGCTTGTAGAGGTCGTTCTTTTGTTTGCTTGCCTGACTCAGATAAAATCCTGTCCTCCTCCTCCTTTCCCATTGTTGTTTCCTGTTATCACAGCTTCCTCCTGGCCTAAGAACATAGAAACAAATGCCCCCCCCCACACACACACAGTGTCGTGGATGGATCTATCTATTGATCTATTATTTATCAATCAGTCCATCTGGGTTGTTTCAAAGCCTTTTTTGGAAACATGGGGTTTTCCTTTTCTTTTGTTTTTGAGTTGGGGTTTCTCTGTGTTGCCCATGATAGTCTCAAACTCCTGGGCTCAAGTGATTCTCTCGAACCACCTCCCCAGTAGCAGGGATGACAGGAGCATGCTACCGTGCCCGGCTAACTTGAGGTGTTTTACTGAGCAGGAGGCTGACACAGGAGTCAGATGAGTATCATGAGTATCATCTACTGCAGGCCCACGCACCCGTGAGCTAAGGTGATACCAGATCCAGTGCTTCATCCTGCCCCAGCACTTCCTGGAGTTGACTGCAAATAGAGTCCTGCTCCAACTTGAGGGAAGGGGTCATAGAAGGAAATAGGGAAGCTGGGGAAAAGGTACTAGATGGAGCCCCCATCCCACTGGGAAAAGCTGCAAAGCCAGATATGTGCCAGAGACAGCCAAGTTCAAAACAAAAGCACAAATCAGCCAACAGCCGGGTCGTGCCCAAATACCACCTCCATAATGTATGTCCACTCACACCTCCAGACGCCGATGACTGAATTCTAAATGACTCCAAGAGAGGGCTCCTCCGGATCCTCTTGGGTCTGCACAAGATGGATTACTGAAAACACGCCAGGGCCATGGACTCTTGAGGGAAAACAACACATGGAATTTTTTAAGAAGGCAATTTGGCATCTATTCATAGAGAGTGGGATTAGATTTCATTAAAGGGAGGAACCCCCAACTCCATCTGGTTCTCTTGCCTCAGCACCGGGCGTGATGTTTGAGGGAGACAGAGAGCAGGATTATTTCTTGGCACGGGCACCTTCCTCCTCAGGGGCCAATAGCACATTCGCACTGACCTTTGTTGTGAGGATGGTCAGCTGGACAGCTGGCTTGGGTCACCCCTGCCCTGGAGTGACCACCTCTCCACAGCTTCTTGGAAATACACTATTGTTCCCTTCTGTTTTTGTTTTCTTACAGTGACGGTGAATCCTAAAACGGAATGGTGCTCATGTTTTCCAAGAGAAGTGGCCCCTGAGGGAGCCTGCTGGGCCTGCCAATAGACGATGAAGAGGATGCGAGTTTAATTAATTTCAAATCAATGTAGACAGAAGAACCTTTGCTGTTTCTTCCAGCACCCACTCTCCTCCTGACAGTCTCCCTGTCCCTGGAAGAAGGAGCTGTGGAGGAAGCTCAGGAGGTGCCTGGCTGCCCTCCAGACAACTCTGCTCAGGGCTAGCAGGAGCCACAGAGGGCACAGCCTCTTGGCAGTGGGCGTCCCCTCCTCCAGGCTGCCCTGAGCTTGCTCGCTCTGGCCTCTCTCTCCAAGTCCTTGTTACCTTTCTGCTTCGTTTCTCAGGGTTTAAATCAGGAAGCTGTTTTATCTATGGTTTCTTTCTGGGTCAACTTACTAGCTAACCAGCTTTGGATAATTTCCTCTCATTATTCAAGACCTCTGTCAAGTCGGCTCCATTCAGCAAGACCTCTCCTCTGAGGAAAGGTAGGTCGCGGATGAGACATCAGGCAAAGTGAGCATTTCGATGTCTACACCAACCCTGGGGGCTTTGGAAGCTCGCTTCCACCAGCCAAGAAAATCCAGTGAGAGAGTACCCGGGCCTGAGGAGATGTTGTCCGGTCACTTGTGGACTTTGATTTAGCCACGGCCTGGTCACCTTCCTGGCTATTTGTGGGGAATTCTCAGAGGAACTAGGAAGCTTCAAAGAAAGAGCCAACATTTTCCTTCTCAGCTAAAATCGCCTCTACCTGTGATCTTCCCCCAAGCACCTTTGTGTTTCACCAGGCCTGCCTCACCCTTCTCATCTCAGGGATCTTTAAACTCGTCTGAAACCGAGTGGGAACAGGAAATACCTGTGCCCGTGTCAGAGAGCACTCATGGTGCAGCGTCCTACCAAGCCGGGCCAAGCCTCCTGTCCTCCCATCCTGGGAGGTCGCTCTGGGTCCACCAGAGATGACATTCTGGCTATATCTGTCGATATCCTTGTGCTCAAAAGAATGGCACAAAATGCACAAGGGCTTGTAAGGCCACTCCCCTCACACACACACAAATCTTTCCATTTAATCCTTAGTTTTGTAATTCTCACTTTAAAAAAAAAAATAGTCTAGCAAATGGAGAATCCTCAGCTTCCTTAGGACACTTGACATTTTATTCCAGGAACTACATGAAGACTGAAATCTTTGTTTATTTTAGTCATTGTATGTAAACTGAGGAGAGGGGAAGTTAACCGGACTTTTGCTGCTGAAATGGGGGGTGTGTTGGAAAGGCTGCCTTCACGTATAAGAAAACCCCCGTCCTGCCTTTTATAGATCCTTTAGCACATCCTTTCTGAAGTATTCGGATAATTTTCAAGGCAGGGTTCCAGGCTCAGGAGGTCTCTCTGTACATGATCACCCGGACTGTCTGGCTGTGTTTGACTCCTGCTGTCATGCTCTCTGGGGCTGCTTAGCTCTTTGACAAAAGGCAGACATCCTGCTGTCTAACGCAACAGCCCTGTCTGCCATCTTTGCATTAGCACATCCTTACATAACTTTTTATTTTCACTGCTGTTTTGTATACTCACAAATCCACTTACAGTCCACAGTTACTCTCAGATATTTATGCCAAAATTGCTGCTTTCTGAATAATCCTATCGTATCTATTTTATACCCATGTTTGTTACTTTAAGTTTGTCTCTTTCTCAGAAGAGTCTCAGTTTGCTTTTCTGGGTATCTAAGATCTTTGCCAAACACGCAGGCCTTTAACCTGGATATGACCTTATCACGTAGTGAGCTTTGGAAGTTCTCAGAAGTATGAGGGGTTCTGGAATCTCATTTGAAAAAGCAGGATTGTACAATATAATAAAATATTTTATTTAGTGTTTTTAAACAACTTCAAATTCCAGAAGAAACAAACCTCAGCAGGATGCCATTGAGTTTATGTCTGAGAAATGTACTGACTTCTATAATTGCACAGTGTACAAGTTACTTTTTAAAAGGCATTTATTCTGGCAAGATCCATGGAGTCAGGATGGGTCAAAACAGTCACTGAATAATCCTAGCACCAGACATTTGTTTATTACTATCCAATCAGTGTGTATCATGAATGCATGACAACTCCAAGAATTGCTTTCAACCCAAACTTAATTTTAGGTTTCAGTTTATTAGTAAAACAATGTTGTTAATTTTCCCTAATTGGATAGCCAATCACAACATAATCTGACTTTCAAATAGTTTAAAGATAAAAGTTTTATTGCATTTTTGTCACTTTAAGCAGACTAGGTTAATGACACTGCCCCATCAAACTCCTCAGGAAGCTTGCAATAAATGTATAAAAATGCCAATTTGTGACTCTTAGCCCAATGCTGTGTCTCCTCTCTCTGAGAAAGGCCCAACATCCACACCCAAGCACAAAGCCCGGATCAATGGTGACATCCATGGAGTAGCAGGTGCTTCCTCTGGCTTTCATAGCTGTAGCTGTGGAAATAATGTCAACATAAATGAATGCTTTTGAAAACTACTTCTATTTTTTTATATTGGTTATTTAAGCCATTAATTTATGCCATCTCTGGGAAAATGCCTTACATTGAGTAAACATAAAATATACGTATTAGTTTCATCTTCTGTTAGAATTAGAGAAAATTCTGATAGTGGAGTAATAAGACAGTTCCCCTGGGAAAGGGCTGCTGAAATTCTCCTGGTGGGGAAAATATTGAAATTTTATACTGAATAGCACATATGACTTTCTCATGTTCAGAAGACACTCAGGATGAGGCCTGGGGTTTCCTTTTAGTAGCCACAAGCACTGTAGCTGGGAGTGGTGGCACACACCTGTAACCCTAGCATTCTGGGAAGCTGAGGCAGGAGAAAAAGAAAAACAAAGAAAAAATAGAGTCCAGAGCAGCGTCACTCGAAGATGCATTTCTGCAACATAACAACGTCCAGAAGAGCTCCTGTACATTAGGGAGAACTGGAGTCTGTCTAATTGGGTATTGATAACTGTATAGCTCGAAAAACCAATTACCTGAATCTTTTTTTTTAGCTGCACTTTGGCATTGCCTTGATACTGTCTTGTTTGGCATCAAAATTTGATTTTCCACTCAGCCTTCTGGGAGGGGAGGTTGCTATTTGTATGCACTTTGTGTTTTTGTCCTACTACCTTTTCTCTTTTTTTTCTACTACCTTTTCTAAGTAACATCTCATGCTCATGATAGCAATTCATATAATTATGTTAAACAGAGCTTTTAACAGATGCTATACATGACCTAAACTCTTTCTGAAATTATACTGTATTTTAAGAGGTTAAATTCCTACACCAAAGTGGTTCAGATAACACAAAGACTTTCACTTCAGCATCGCACAAGGTTAGAAGCATAATGGTGAACTGTCTCAAGACAACCACAGGTAGATGGGCTTTTTGTTTGTTGCTTAGCTTCAGTTTGTGCAGGGGGCTCAGGAGCCAGTTCATATCACGTTCCCATCATTGGCTTTTGGTGCTTGATCCATAAGTACTGTAACTGGACTTTTGCGAAAATTGAATTCTTCGGTTCTCATTTCTTTGCTCTGCATGTGAGGGCTTAATAAGTGAATGATATGCACCTTCTATAAATATAAGCAACCTTTTTTTCAGTGTAGAATTCAGTTAAGAGTAATCATTGTATTACTCTGACTTAGATGGAAATGTGAACACTCTGCATGTTTAATAAATATCCAACAAGTTAAAAATGATCTGGTAGATCAATAATAGTTTAATACATGTATATTTTAAATACATGTATTTAAAGTTAACTGAAAATAATGTAAGAAAGTGCTGTGTTTGATTCTCATTTTACAAGCAATGTCATATTTCTTGAGGAGGTCAGATAGAGTCATGTGTAAATTCTAGCTGGTAAGCCTCATAGAAGAATTGCCTCAATGCTACTGATTAGAACTAATTTCTAAAACTATCAAAGCTTTAAGCCTGACTGAACATTTTCAGTTTTTTTAATCTCCTATTTTGCATGCTAAGAATAACATATATAATAGTATTTTCTTTATGATTTACAGTTTTATTAAGGTCAGGTATACAGGTACGTATATGTATAAATTATTCTCAGCTGCATCATTTTTTAAATAAAACATACACGTCCATATGTTAAACTGTTTACTCAGCAGTTGTAGATAGAAAAGCATTTACAAATTTAATTAACCACTATAAGAGGAAAATATTTCCTTATTAGTTTCTATGTAATTAATATGCATCAATATTTAGAATAAAAGTTTGAAGTAAGATATTTGTTTACTTATATCTGTTTACTAAGAATAAAGGGGTGAAATATGCATCTTTGTAAAGGAAAATCTTTTTGCTTCTGGGACTATAAAAAAGAAATATCACTTTCACAATTTTACTGTCTTGATTCACATACCTCTTTAAATAAATGCAACAATACTCCTAAAATTCTTACAGATCTGAACTTGCTTAATACACAATTATTTAGCCAAAAAATCAAATGGATTTTCTGTATATCTATAAGATACTATTATTGCTTTTATTCTTCCTTCAGAACACTTTTAAATGAAGGAATGAAATTTTAATTGTTTATGGAAATGTGATTTTAAAAAAATATTCTTGGCAAAAATGAAAAACTCTTCAAGATAAAACTTTCTTTTTCCTAATTACTAACTTTTCTTCATGCTTCTCATTCTAATCTCATCTTCCACACCTTGATATTCAAACGTGGCAAGGCTGAATGGCAGATTCCTAACATGTGAACAACATAAAGAGCTCTTTGAATAGGACACATTCTTTTGGGTCATAAGGACCAGTCAATACACTGATAGACAATGGGCTGGAAGATTCTCCTAAGATCCCAGCTAAGGGAACCCCAGTCAGTTACGGCCTCACCATCCCTCCAGAATCTGTACATCGTGCATGTCCTTCCTATCTTTTTTTTTTTTTGGTACCGGGGATCGAACTCAGGACCTTCCGCTTTTGAGGCAGGCGGCAGAAGCACTGAGCTAAATCCCTGGCCCTGCCCTTCCTGTCTTAATCAGATTTGTCAGAGTGGGACAGATCAACCTGGTGATGGCTGGACTCAAAGAACAGAGTCCCACAGTGTGGGAAATGCTCAAGAGAGAATAATAATCTTGACTAGCACTTACCGTGTATATCAGCTAGGGATTAACTTTAGCCACTAATATCAGAGACGCCACATGAAATTGTCTGAAGTAGTCTGTTTCTCACATATGAAAGGTACCAAAGTGATCTCCATGCCCACCGGGGACCTGGGTTCATCCTAACCACCCCCCACCTTCGTTAGTGCAGGGCTCACCCTGAGGGTCCCCACACGATGCAGAATGGTGGCCCTAACTGCAGCATCACATCACAAGGAGAGAGCGAGCCAGCACGAGGGCAGGCCTCCCAACTAGGTCAAGAGCTTGTCTTCCAGCCCAATGAAACAACTCTGCCTGCTTCTCATTGGCCAACCTGTCTACAAGGCAGCAGGGAACAGAGGCCTTTGTGTTGCTGCCTATCACACCCGACAATGGAGGTTCTGTTGCACAAAGTGGTTGTGTTTCACAACTTAGGTATCTGATGAGACAGCACTCCCTGCCATGAGACGTTAGGCGCTCAGCAGATACCATCTCATTTAATCCTAATGCTACATATAAAGTAAGTTTACAGAACTTACAAATTTAGCCCAATTTCAAAGTGCATGCTTTTAATCACCGTCTCCCAAGTGATGAGCAATAGGAAAAGGTTTAAGAAAGTGTTGATCTTTTCAAGGAGGTCTGGACATGAGCACAGCCTGAAATAAAAAGTAACAGAGATGCAGGAAGGCAGCAAGTCCAGGACCCCTGTCCCAGAAGAAATAATAGATCACACTGAAAAAAATAGAAACAAAAAAGCCAGAAATCGAATAGCACCAATGAGGAAAATAGACCAAGTTTCCAGACCGAGGTGCTGGTAAGGGGTTGGGATCCTCTTGCTAGAGCAGAAGGAATGACAGCACCTGCTGCCCTGTCTAAGGGTTCCATGGAGAGGTGTGCCGAGAGGCTCTCAGGAACAGGGGTTTAGGGCTCAATTTGCAAGAATTTAAACCAGTGTGAAAAGCACCTCTTTCACAGCCGCAGTCATTTTGGCTTTCAGAATTCCCAAATGAGCACGCACATAGGACGTGGGACTGGGAAAAGCTTGGGATTCCGTGTGAGCTCAGGTGACCCGCCTCTGGGGTGCATCTAGCATTCATACTTTCCAGGAGAGAAAATCTGATTGGCTTGGAGCTTCAGCCATCTGTCACTGACTAATAAACCACCTCAGAACTGAGTAGCTTAAAACAACAATAGTCGTTTGTTTTGCTCGTGACTCTGCCGTGTGGGTGGGGCTCGGTGAGAGCTGTGCAGTCTCTTGCACAGGGCCTCCGCCGGGCGGCCCGGGTTGTGCTGGGTTGCACGGTCAGAGCCTCACTCCCATGGCTGCCAAGTCCATGCTGGCTGTTGGATAGGAGCCTCACCAGGTGGACGTGCCAGGGGCCTTGGTTTCTACCTCAGCAGTATCTCTGTGGACTTTGGGGCTTCTTCAGAGCATGGTAGCCGGGTTCCAAGAGCACGTGTCCCGAGAGAACAAAAGGGAGGGGGATAGCATGTTTCTAACCTAGGCTCTGATGTTCTGTGGCATCACTTCTACCATAGTTTGTTGTTGAGGCAGTTATAAAGCCCTAGCCAGGTACAAAGCGGGGAGGAGAGAAACCCCACCAGCCAGGAGCCACATGTCAGCCACACTGTGAGAAGAGCAAGTGGGTTAGAGGATTTGTTACTGGTACTTTGGGAAAAATGTGATCTGCCAAAATTGATGTGTCTCCATGCAATGTGAAGGAAACATTAGGTAATTGCAGGGGTATTTGACCTCTCCCAAGGTCAGCACCTCTGTGGTTGTCTTTGGCTTGAACATAAATCCCTGGTCCAATAATCCATGGTAAGTGGTAGAACTAGTTTTACCAATTGCACAAGGAGTGAACCATGGCACGGAATGAGTTATAGGTGAACCGAAGGTGTTGGATTCTGTGACCCACTGTCAGCATATAAGGTTGAAGTAGGAGCAAATTCAATTGATTCACCCTGTGGGTCAGAATCAAGTCCTGGTCATCTTTGTATCTTGAAAAGAGCGAGCCACTACTGGATGCTCAATAATTATGGGAAATTCAGTCACTCAGTGAGCTAAGAGACACTGCCTCACTCTTAAGTACCTAGTCAGTCTTGTCATCAGTGATTGCAGACTCTAAATATGGTGTTGTTCATCTGCCATCACCATTTTCTCCCAAGTTTCTTGATTTAACTGGATATTCCTCATCTTCCATCCTGGTAC